ACTGTAATGTTTCTTACTGTACTTACTTTATACCCACACCGCGAGCATGCCTGGCATCTCAAGACTACATCACAATCCGACACGCCCCAGTGATATTATCAACTGAATTTTAAATGCAGTTTGATATTAATGCTACGCAAAAACGGTTGATACTTATAATGCTATATTAAAAATCAAATTGAGTAGGTAACACTTATCGGAGACATTGTTTATTCGGATGCATAGGGATTAGTGCATTTAGTTTTGTATTTTGCGAAGGAAAACATTTTAAAAAAATCATTACTTCAGAAAATGCAAGTGCTTCGTCACAGTTCTTGAGAATCGATAAATTCTTCTAAATATCCATTAACTCTGGATATTTAGAAGAGCTAAAACTGTCAGTCTCTCTTAACATGTTTGCTCTCAGCCAAGTTTTGCACGTCTTAGCCCTCTCTATGTCACACCGCATATAGGAAAAGTTGCCAAAATTTTCAGCAGTTCTTTATATGTAGATAGAAATCATCGTCGCAAACGCCTAAAAAGCTGTTAAAAGCTTTTTTACACCATTTCAATACAGTAAAACAAGTGTAAGGGTAATTAACGTACCTGTTGCATTTGTTAAGTAGATATAAGTTATGTAATGCTTTGCATGTATTTAAATCTAAAGTATTATATACAGTCATTGGACAGCATGCCAAACAGTTAGAATTGTGCACCGTTTAAGTGGCAATCAATGTACATTATTCGCCAAAAGTTGACAAATTAATCGCCCACCCTTCCCGACCTTAAATCGCCCGTAAATTATTAATCCTCTATTAATGCGTTCTCCCTTCCTTTGAATTGAGTTTCATTTTCATCCCGTCATGATTTTTCTATTTTAATAAAAATATATAATCGCCCTATATTATACACAGTTGCTATTATCGGCTGGCTGAAAACAGTAACAACCGCCTTCAGATATATATACACAACACACCCATTTGACGTAATACCGGCCATACACACTACGAGAAATCGTTACGATTAGACTGTACAGTCCGAACGGTACCGATAAATCGTAGCGTGTATGTTATAAAACTGCACAGTTTCCTATACTAAACGAAATCGTATAAACTGTTCCGTTCGAACTGTACAGTCTGATCGTAACGATTTCTCGTAGTGTGTATGGCCGGTATAACATAACACACCACAATATTTGTTGTTTGACTAATTCGTCGTATGTGAATATGAAGTGAATTATGAACATACGAATATGGAATACGAAAGGGACGATATGTAGAGGACGCGAAGATGTCCGAGACCCTGCGTAATTTATTTTTACAATGTTAATTAAAGTGGATCTTTCAAAGAGTAGGAGTCAGAAGGCTTTTGGCCCGCCTTAATGCGTAACATTCGGCGGCGGACTTCATGCAGGCGCATGATGGATCCGATCATCATCCCCCGTTAAAACCTTTAGAAAGATCAACGAATCATAAGTATGCGACGGTATAGGTATAGCGCGGCAACGCAACGATAGCGCGATGCAACCGGCAGCCAGCGCCACCTGTTTCCGTAACGTAGAACTAACGAAATCAACAGCTGATGATAATAATAGTTTTATTAGTAACGTCACCGAATAACTTAGTTTAACCACTTTACAAAAAATATCATCTCGTAGCGCTATGAATGAGGCTTTATCAACCTCATTTGTTGTTAAAACCTTATTCATATTGTGTAATGCTATGCTATGCTAATACTATTTTTATACTAAATATATCATACTTAGTATATTTTGTCTTTTCGCTGTGAACAACACCTAGTAGCCATGAACGAAATTGTAAGATTCACCGCAACAAAAAGGATTGTGAAATAACATTTAGCAATAACTTTGTACTTAATTAAACTAACAGTCACGACCAACCCTAATGTCTGCAGCAGTATTATTCAAATAATTCAAATTGAATTGTTTAAACAATACTGTTACAAAATAATGATGCCGTGGTGAGCATAAAAAATCATTTTTTTAAACACATAAATATAGAAAATAATCTAAATAAGTTATATTTATAGGCCAGTGCCCAAGCAGTAATACATTCATAAGCTAATGATGATGAATGTTACGTCGTTTACTAACTGTAACTAAAATTACTAATAATAACATTTACAAATCACAAATGTAAACAAAACAAAGATTAATCTGAATAAAACAATGTAATAAACTTATCATTTGAATTTGATTAACCTAACAAACAAGTTAAAAGACATTTTGTCAGTCAAAGTCATGCAGATGTTTTATTCGATACGTGTTTCATTCAATACATTTGATTTGATTAACGCCGATTAGATAATAAATTACGTAAATATACGTGCACTGTTAGTATAAACCACTTCCGTTCCGCCCGTTCCGATTTGTAATTCTTACTTCGTACATTTAAATTCACCTTCTACAGTAAGGACCGCATAATAACCTGCTGTAACCGAAAACCGTGACCAAATACGTGGTAAAATTTTATAAAAGCAATGAAATAGCTCCAACCTTAATTTTGAATGAGCAACAAAAAAGAACTTTAATAAAAATCAAAGATACATCCGTTAGAGTCTTTTAACAAAGTTTAATGATGATAATGAAAACGCCAATACAGTAATTTCTTTTAAATTATAAAACTGAGTGACATTGAAAAGAATTCGTCTTAGAAAGTCCCAAAACATGGCGAGATGCTGCCAAAGGTAACCGTTTATCGGGGCCAAAGGAAAGTGAATCGGAGATGCGCAGGCGTCCGGTTAGCTCGTATACAGTACCGTTAACGGCGAAATCGGATGACTGTTAACTCATGCAAATGGGCCAGTGTTACATTCTTATACTACGTACGCTGGTTGTAAACGTGAGCGAGTAACCAATGAACACGTATTCATTAACAATTTCCGATGCAACGTTGTATTGTATCATCTAACATCACTTTTCCTAATTGGAGGCTATTTATTTTTAATATTATAGTAATTTATATTATTTACGGGATTGCTTCCATGTAACTTGTTTTAGCGAGTTTCCGATATTACTCCGTGATCATGGAGCTTGCAACAGTGCCGAAATATCGGAATCTCGCTTATCCCGTAAATAACAAAAATTACTATGTTAATGACCATGAATGTTTCGTAGTACTGATATTTTCTTACGTGTTGACTCACCCTTATATCTTTTAGCATAGATAAGCCTGACCTAAACATATATTTGATATATTTACTATGTTAAAGTATTTTTAAATAACCAGGGAGCAGGAGTTTGTTTATTAACTGTGAGCCGTTCCGAAACCTAATACTGATGTTTACCTATTCTATTATACCTACCCGAACATCGGCAAACATTGACAATCAAATATCATAAAATGTTTACTTTATATTTACTATCTGAAGTTTAGTCAATAAGAGGTATCCTTTCTGCTGATTTAAGTTATTTTAAAATAACATCAAAGCTATAATCTGTTAAATGAGCATAAGATCAATGGGAACAGTGAACCTTAGCTACTGAGTGTGGACAGGACAATACTATTCCAGTATAATTTGTATTTGAGTAAAATTATTTTACAATGAAATATTTTTAATGAAATAATGATGAAACGGTCGAGTCATCTGCGGGTCTATTTCTATTATTTTACAGGCGTTTGGCAAGTGACTACAACCACAAATTAGTACAGAAGGCAATCTACTTACAATGGACAACAAATATTATTTTTAAGTAATTGAAAATTCAATTGTATGTTTATTGATAAATCATAAGACACAATCATAGACACCGCTCACGGACACGATATTTTGAACCACTTGAGATCATATTTGTTTCTTAGGTTTTCACGCACATAACGCATTAAATAAAACTAGTTTCCACGGGTTAGATGTACTGAATTCATTTATTTATTGACGTTTCGCAGCCTTTTCAGATCTGCGTCGTCTGAATAATGTTTTTTTATTAAATTTTGTTATAAAAAGTTCACTTGAGATCACTGCCACTACGAACGCGAGTTCCATCCACTTGAGACACGCGTTTGTGAACTTTTTTGTGCAAAAATGGAGTTTAAAACAGTTATTATAACTGTTCAGTGGAGGATTGTTTTAATTAAACAGTGAATTGTCGTTTTTTTTATTCTAGATTAGATTACCTTCTGTACTGTCTATTTTGTGCTACAGCTTACGTGCAGGGAAAGCCGCGACCCACAGCCGACACGCTGCGCCTACTACAACGGTTCTTGCACGCATTGATTGAGCTGGAAAATGCACTCATTTGTCATTAGTGCAAGTCAAATGAACTAACTACAAGAAAAAAAAATATGAAAGGTCCCCATCGATCCCATCCCATGTGAACAAATTTTATTACGAAATCTAAGTTCGCAAAAATTCATAAAAAAGCTAGCCTAATACATCTATATAATAGGGATGATGACAATTTTTTTTTCTTCGTTTATCAGGTAGATTATCAAAAAGTATTGGACACGTATTTTTTCTTTTTTCACATAATATAAACATTGCAGAGATATATTGATTTGAAAAGTCGCATGACGTCACGTTTGAGTACACTTTTAAGTGAAAATTCACTCAAAAGTGACGTCACGAGCCCCTACTCCCAAACTTTGACGCGCTATAACTTTGTCATTTTTTGGTTGATTGCCCAAAGAAAAAATACGTGTTCATTATTTTTTGATCCTCTAACTGACGGACTAAATAGAATTTCGTTTACTGTACCCCGTCATCACCCCTATTGAAGTTCAAATACTATCCTTGCACATTGGACAGGTACTTACTATTTTGGAAAACCAACTTATGATTGGAAAAACATAAATTAATGGAAAAATATACATACTAAATAAAACTAGTTTTAACGGGTTAATGCACGTTTTATTTAATGAGTGATGTGCGTGAAACCTAAGAAACAAATAAAATATATATATATTGTTTTCGACAATTGTTATTTCCCTTTCAAATAACTTTGTTTACTAAATTACATCAAAAGGAATAAAACACGTAACTTATAAACTTTTAATATTTTCCAGGAATATTTTACCACGAGACTAGTCCGGCTGTTGCTGACAACTGTCACACTGGCCGTACTAGTAAAAGTCGTCAATGGACAGTGCCCATGGGAAGGAGCTCCAGCGCTACAAGCGGCCTGCGTATGCGCATACAATCTAGCCAGAGATTTATCAGTGCAATGTGATCAGGTTCGATATTTACTTACATTTTAATTATGTAAAATAATAAGTTTTTTTTTAAATGGTTTAATTATGTATTCCTGTCATGTTTTAGGTTGACTTCACTGTCCTCTTAGCGGCAATAAATACAAGCGCTCCTCGAGGAACATCTATAGATCTTTTATACATAAATAACTCAACGATTCCAGTTCTCAGAAATGACATGTTTGCTCATTTAAAGATACACAATCTACAAATATCCGGCTGTAAAATAAGAAAGATCGAAGATGAAGCCTTTAAAGGACAAGGACTATATCTCAAAAATTTAAATTTACAAGATAATGAATTGACTGAGATACCAGTGAAAGCTCTGAAAATATTAATAAACCTGTCTTTATTAGATGTTTCTAAAAATCATCTGAGCCACATCGAAAATCATTCCTTCATCACTTTACGTAAATTAACAACGTTAAAGTTGTCAGACAATAACATAACTTTGGAGTCTCATGCATTATCAGGATTAGAAAATTCATTAAAAAATTTGAATCTCAAAGGCACTCGACAAAAGTCTGTTCCCGAATGTATAAGGGGTCTTCACAGCTTGGCTTTTTTAGATCTGTCGCAGAACAGTATCAGAGAACTCCCAGGACCTGATGGCAGCAGCACATTCGAAGGCTTAGATTCGCTAACAGCTCTTAATTTAGAAAGAAATCTTATAGTCAATTTACGTGAAGATGCCTTCGAGGGTATAAAATTAACTCTAAGTTCATTGAGTCTTCTTAACAATTTACTACCAGAATTTCCAACTTCGGCTATTGCAACACTAAGTGACTTAAGAGTATTAGATATAGGTTTTAATTTATTGAATAAATTGCCAGTGGATGCGTTTTCAAAAAATTCGGCGATTACGCTTTTAGCATTAGATGGGAATCCATTGCCAACAGTATCGGTCGAGGCATTTGCTCATCTCAATCAAACTCTTCGAGGGCTCAGCTTAGGAGGTAGATTTTTAAACTGCGATTGTCGCTTACGTTGGATTATAGAATGGATACGGAACGGAGAGCTACAAGTCACTTCTCGGGAACGAAACCCCCAATTTTGTGGTTCACCGCCTCATTTTCGTGAACGAGGATTTTATAGTTTCGAACCTAACGAATTAGTATGTGAACATGAAACAACTACATTACCCGAAAAGAAAACAACGGTAAAAAAAGAAACCTCTAATTGGAAGAGTAGTCCTACAACAATTGTATCATCTACATCAACTTCTAAAGATTATTTAAAGACATCACCTACTGTTTCGACCACCACTACAACTACAACTACTACTACTGCTGTAAATGACAATGAAACAACAACTAAAAATTCAACTTCAACTACTACCAGCACTATTCGGCCCACTCGAATTCCATCTTTAAGGCCCGCAGCTCCAACATGGCGCCATGCACCTAACCAACGCCCGCCACTTGTGATGAATTATCCACAACAAAAACAAAAGATAGATGACTCCAACGAGGTTATTGTTAAGAATGCATATAGACAAGACAATTCGGTCATCATTCAATGGGATTCCGATGTTGCGAATATACTTGGTTTTCGGGTCGTATACAGACTCTTTGGCGATAAAAGCTTCAAACAAGGACCACCTCTGGAGGCTAGTGAAAGAGAATTTAAAATAAAGAATGTTCCTTCCCAGGTAAGTAACTCTACTTTTATTCTACAAGCTCACTTTTGACATTAAGACTGTTTAAATAATTTCATCTTTGTTTTTACACACACATTCAAGTTTATTTAATGGGCTTTCGATTCGAATGACACCAATATTGGTGGGGGTAAATGCATGTGTTAAGGGTTATAATAACGCTGAAAAGTTATTTTCGCGGAGGTATTATAAATGTGAAAGTTTGTATGTTTGTAACTTAATCAACCAAAACTACTGAACGGATTTGAATGAAATTTGGTACGCGTATAGGTTAGATTGCGACATAGGATATTTTTATTCAGAAAAAAAATATTGGATAAAAAAAATAAGTTAACACGGACGAAGTCAAAGGTGGCCCCTAGCCTCTGAATAAAGCTTTTAATTAAGCGAGCAAATACACGTGCATTTTTAATAAGTGTAGAATCAATATTTTGTATAACAGGGCCCCTAGCGTCCATTATGATATAATAAAAAAAAGCTTTATTATCCCCTCTAAAGTCACTTTCCTTTTAAAATAGTTAAAATAATGTATAAAATTTTACTTCCAGGAATGTATCGTGGTCTGCGTGATCTCCCTGGAGGAGGTACACGTGAGTCCAGAGACAGTTCCGTACTCTCAATGTCGAGAAGTGCGAACGGTTTCAGCCGCAGCCTCCAATATGGACAAGATCACGATAGCGGCTAGTGCAGCTATCTGCGGCACAATTGTCGTAGCAGTGCTCGTCTTTGCGGCAGCATCACGTCGTCGCTCACGCACCGTTCACCGCCTACAAGCCCCTGAGAAACTACCAAACGCCTGCTGCGGTGGTCTGACAGGAACGCCGAGTCCCAACGGACCATTATCATCATTAGCGACCCTGGGAGCATTTGGAAAACAGCGTGAGTGGGATCAAGTGTCAGCTTACAGCTCACGGTCGATCCCTCGCGCACGCACTTTTACCGAACCGACTCACCCTGATCCCTTACCAGGCCGACCCGGCCGAGCGCGATCCCTCGCCGATGGCCAATCACAACATAGTTATTCCCACTCCGGTCGTTATGGAGTCCCTGGCTACCCAAGTAGCTTGTTAGGATCTAGAACCGGTAAGTGAGACATATATATGCGTATAGAAACCCTTTAACCACACCACCAAAGATATTAAATACCCTGGATACACCACGTGCGCACAAAATGTGTCCCAATCAAGAAGTGCTTGAAAATAATTCAAGCACTCTTGGTTCACAGCCACGCACGGACCGTTGAAAAGTCAAGTTGCCGCAGAGCTCCGTGAAAAAATGCGAAAAAAATACTTATAATACGTAGAGTTAAAGAAACAAGGTCTATATTCTTCAATTATTGTAATGTCGTAAAATTTTTTTGCATTTCAAATTGTCATAACTCTTTGACGCATGCGTTTTAATTAAGACCTTATACAGTGTGCATTAAAGGTGATTTTCAATGTTTAAATAATGCCTTATATTGTTTTTGTCTACGCGATCATCGTATGGAGCTGCGTGGATCGTCCAATGTACCTTAGGGACAGGTTTCGGGCAAGATTTTGTCCGTGTTGGTGTATCTAGGATATTTAATATCGTTGCATACCCCATCAAAATCATTTTAATAAATGTTTGGTATTTAAACATCACTTCAACGTTTTAGATCTGCGGCAATCACGTCAGTCGTTAGGAGCGGCATCAGAACGAGCATCGCGATTGTCTTTAAGCGGCGCAGCAGGCGGGGCTACGGGTGGTACCGCCGGTTCCCGAAGACGACCGCGTTCACGGTCGCGGCCAGCTAGCCGGTACAGCGTCGGCTCGCTCGGGATGGGCTACTGCGACACCTCAGACAACTGGACGGATCATGATATGGACATCTATATGGCGCGCAACCCCACGACAAGAGGCGGCCTGGTGCCGTTATAGCGCGCGAGGACTACGGCGCGGACAGGAGTGACATCGCGCGGACGCTGCTCGCCATCGTCGAGGAACAAGACGGCCTACACCTCGTGGTGTGCACATAAAGCTCAACCGCGTGCGCATTATCACTATCACCGTTTAAGCCGAAATCAACATGAATTAACATTATGTAAACGAAGTCCTCCTTAGATAGGACTGAATCAAGGTCGGACTATTAGTCCAGGAACAACTGGCAATATAATAAAATACAAATAATATTGTATTTTGTTACCGCTAAGTAACCATTGGTTCGGTTGGTGAAGACTGATGAAATTGGTGCTTGTTTATAAGAGTAACCTTTTGTGTATATATGAAGGCTATCAGAAAACTAAGCAAATAATGATACCAGAAACATCCAATTTGAATCTGAGCATGTGAGACATTTATAGTATTGTATGTGTTATACCAACTTTACTTGTATTTTGAATATTGATTACTAAATTCTTAAGTGACGTTAGCACTTCAGTTGTGCTAACATCACACTAACTGCAATTCTAAAAGAAATCATTATTATCATTTAACTGTTGAATCTTGTTGATTTTTTTTCTTAAAAGTTAGTCAATAAACAACTGCGTTTTAACAAATATTATAAATATTCTTTTGAATGTTCATCACTGAACTGCTTCAAGATTTTTATTTAATTAAAACTAGTCACAGTTGTTTTTTCATCCAACTTTCAATATTCAAAAATTACTTAGGTAGTTGAATTGGTCAAAATTTATGTATTATTTTAGTAGTAGATATATTATAAAAGTTACTACACCCAAATAAGTAGATTATGTTATAATTAAATATAAGATTGTACATATTAGGTATATAAATTATTACAATTACTTGATTTTTTTTTTCTACAGCTAAATGCAAATGATGCATAATCCAAATGGTGCTATTTTACTTTAAATGAAAAGTTAAAATAATTATTTACTTATTGAAAGTTAAATTTTAGCATCATTTGTTGCTATAGAGATTCTATTTAAATTTGCAATGAAATTATAGTTTTTATTTAATACTTAGGATGGAAAATCAGGTGACTTTCCTTACTTTGTTATTTAAGTGTTTTAAAATTCTTAATTATAAAAAATATTTCGTTATCTTTAGTGTATTTCATTTCTTATTTTCCTTATTATTTTGTATTAAGAAACAACCAGTTATTTTGGATTGTCTACTAAGACGACATTTTTTTTATACCACGAGGGTGACAACTGCCAACCCTGTTTACCCTATGGAACTAACGAAATATGTGAATGTGACACTGTCAGAAATTACAGTTAAGCGGCCTACTGACATCCCTGCCGCAGGGACAATCTAGCGTGCACGGTGTTTGGGGCAATATCGGCTTGTCTCTACACACATGCCTGCTGTTCAGTGTTAAGCTAAACACAGGTGTTGATGATAGTCACCGTGAAATCAAAAATCAGCAGATTGGTAGGTAGGGCCTTGGCTTTTTCTATGGTGTTTAGAGCAAAAAAGGAAATACTGGGTGAAGAATTGGCAACAGAATGAAATGTATTGTAAATAAATAATGTTTATATTACTACAATAAATTCCACGCAGACCTGGCAGCAGACGGGACTCGAACCCACATCCTTCGCTATCCGGGCGAATGCACTGACCAATTATGCTACCGCGGCCCTTTTTTTTTATTTTTTGTGTTGAGATAATGCGTGACGCATACCCGCCCCTGGGTGAGAGACGGGGTTATGTGGGACTCATCCTCCCCATGCTACCGCGGCCCTATCAGCCGTATCAAATTCTTTCTAGCCTTTCTTAAGCTGCAAGGCAGCGCCATCTCTTTGCATTGTAGGTAACCCACAATATCAAATGAATACCTTTACAAGTATTAAACATTTGAAAGAAGAAATAGCAATTAAGGTTATAATTTTAATTTTTTAAGCATGTAACTGCATGATATTTTAATCTAAAGAAAATATTACAAAAAAAAAAAATAATAAAAAACTATTTATATTTTTCTAGTAATATTTTCTTTGGATTTAAACACCAAGCAGTTACATGCATAAAAAAAATAGAAAAAAAATATATAAATAATGTTTGTTTTTTATATCCCACATGTGGGGCGGTGACGGTCTTTATATACTTCTATCACTCGGGACCAAACTTCATGCTCATTATGATCTGCCGCCATCTTGATCAAAATACGTGCTCTCCGTGTGACAGGTACCAACCAACTGATTGAGAAATTGCGCCGATCGCGCTACACACTTGGCAACATGCAGGGCGCCAGGGACAATCTAGGGACCAAAGGTAGTCTCGAGCTCCTGCCGCCCTGCCGCAGGCCCGATTTATAAAATTGCCCCTGCTTGCATATACACATCACAATTAAGGAGGCAATTAAGGGTCATCCCTACTTTTACAACCTAGATTGCTTCTGCGGCAGGGATGTCAGTAGTCCGCTTTAGTATTATTTCACTGTGGTCACTTCCCCAGTCAGAAACTTCAATTGGATCAAAAATATAGAGCACATTTTGCCACAAAGAACGGTTCTCCAAGATGACTACAACTACTAATTTCAGTCTGCAGATAGTTGAAAGTAAAAGTTTGTCAATTTATTAGACATTCATATATTTAAGATGTTACTTTGTATGGAGCAAATGCAATTCTGACTCGGTGACCTGTCTTATATAACAAACTTTTTAGTGATATAGACATTTTCGCAAGTACTAAAAGCATTGTCAAAACACAAATAATTTCCAAATTAAAATATCAACACTAATAGCTGCTTTGCAAGTCTCACGCGACCTGGCATTAAAATATACATACCTACATGTTACCTTAGTTCAGCCTGCACAATGACAGTTTTCGTATCTAATTTAATTCATAGAAACCTGTTGTTGGCCATTCTTATTACTATTATGTAATATCTGTTTGTATCACTGTTAGTTTCTCAAAAATAAAAAAATAAGATTGGATGGCAAACTATCAATATTATTGCTGGACAATTAAAAGACCCAACTAGGTGTAGCTAGGCACATTTCAGCCCCTGTAGGATGAGCACCACAATTTCCATTATATCACGTTTTTATCATGTCTATGTGTCAAACTGCATAGTAATTTGACAATTGAGTGCAATAAAGACATGCTATATATTATATCATGGTGCTCATGCTAGGGGGGCAGGCTCTGCCCACTGCACAATTGATATAGTTTGTAGGTAATGTAACTACATGTAAAATAAGAATTTAAGAGACTAGTGTTCTTTAAATTATACATACCCTGGTACCAATATCTTGTGTTCCCATCTGTATTGCAATTCCTGAATAAACTCATACCACAGGTGAGCCAAATAAGGCAATCCTCCTGCATGATGTAACCGAGCTGCTGTCACTGATAACCTCCACACGAGTCCACCCTCTGGACTAGTTTTCACATAGTTACATAATTTGCTTTCATTTGTATCACTCTGTAACAGTACATTTGATTTTTTGGTTTAATTTATAATAAACATACAAATAAAATTATGTGTTTCTTAACATATTAACCTTATGTCTTACCTTAAATTCCACTTCTAATTGTTCAGGATAGTTGAAAGTGTCATCTTCAACAGCATCCGGAAAAACATAATACAATAGTGCCATCAATAAATCATCAGGTATTGGCCCTTTGAACTCTGTGACATTGCTGCCTTGACCAATAGCAGCTTTCACTAATTTTGAGATTGTTATAGGAGCTTCAGTTATTCTGTTCAATGGATTCACTAGACCCAGGCTCCTGCTTAAACCAAGTGAGTCCATAATAAGAGCATTGTTTTGTAACAAATCCATCACTTTGCTTATGGTCTCTGATAATTGGCAAACTATATTATCTCTCAATTTTAAAGTAACTTTCCAAACAGGAGCCATTATAGGGTCAATATCAGAAAAAGTTGACGAGTCCACTATAGTACTCTCTCGAAACCTGGGCCAAATTGCATTGAGAAGTATACTTGCCACAGGATTTCTTTCAGAACCAAAAGGCAATTCAATTAGTTTTTTGACATCAAAACCATCTATAGACAAAAATTCATTGGAATGTGTGAGTTTTCTCCAAGCAAAAGCTTCAGAATCTTTCAGCTCATAAGAAAATTTTGCAGATACCATTACGGCATCCAGAGCGACAGGCGAGGATATCTTTGATTTAAATAAACTGACAAGTCCAGTCAGATGAGAACATTGATTTGATATTCTTTTCAGATGTATTGTGTCAAAGCTAGTTTTATATTCATTATCTTCATAAAATCCCTGATAATTATGTTGCCAATGTTCTCTGATCTTGACAAAGATGGGAACAGCACAGTCCACATTTGCAAATGCAATATTAACTGAACTCATCACCATTTTTATAATACTCCCATCAACGAGTGGAACATCAGGGCATAACATTATATATCGCTTCAGTCCAAACCAACTTGAAACAGGAAAGGGACTGCCATCATCTTCATCCATAAAATATGATGTGGCATCCCAAATACCATTCTGCAACTCTTGGAATATTGATCTTTCACCAGATTCTTCTGTACTAACTTGTTTATCTACATTAATTGCGTTTTCTGCAGTATGATAAAATAATCTAAAATTTATTCCATGAAATTTCAATTCTTCGGATTTACTAGTCCATTTTTTTTGGAATGTTGATGTTGGATATCTCGTTAATTTACTCTTTGAAAGACGCCATTCATTTAATATTTCTTCTATTCTTGCAATAAATACTTCCCATTCTGAAACTGTAGTAAAATCCTGATGGTAAATATCATATTCATCAATTTCTTCATTCATTTTGTTTTGCTATTAAAAATAATCACAAAGAAAGAAACAGCTGATTTGGATTTCCCTACCTCCCCTCCACAGAGTAATCATTTCACTATTTCACAGACGAAGAGAAACGTTTCCTTTTTTTTTTGTTGAAGTTCTCCCGTTTTAAGGAAGGCAAAGGGAACAATGCCCATACAGCCTGGTCTTAAATTAAATTAATCTTCTTTTTGTTTTTACATTAGAATGTCGGTGTGACGCATTCTAATGTTTCTCGGAGTGTTTGGCACGAAATGTATCAAGTTGGCTTTTTCGATACGCTTCTGTGAGGAAGTCAACACTACAATAAAGAAGTTTCACTTCAATAAAATTCTCACGTCCACTTTACCGGAATTGCGTATATTTTAACGATTCCACTAATTCTTCAGTTACGCAGACGGTTGTTACACAAAACCACACCAATTTTATTTCACAATATCCACTATGAACGAATTTAAGAATAATTAAAATAAGACGCCAAACGCACTCGATGTAATCCCGCCCAAAAACCCGTTTTCTTTTTTTTAGTTTTATTCTTCCCTATTGAGAAAGGCAAAGGCAAAAATTGCAGCCATTGTCATACAATAAAATTCTTATGTTCGCTGACTGGAATAAAGTATATTTAAAGATTCCACTAATTCTTCAGTTTCACAGACGGTTGTTACCATGTTGTAAAACAAAATCAAACAGCTTTTATTTCACAATATCAACTTTGAACGAATAAAAGATTAATTAAAATATGATACTAACCGCACTCGAGAAATTTGCGCTAAAAAACACGAAGTAGTCATGTCAGAGTACCAAGACATCATAGAAAACGAGTCCACGACCCATATTCTAATGCCGGCACTTCATATGACGACTACAGTCTCTCCTTTTTACTCATTAAAGAGTATGATTAAAGACAATCTGCTGTCATAATGAAAAATACCAGTAGCTACAGTTTGTCTATAAAGTTGTGACATTAAATGATGGCGCCACTAGTATGCATGTAGCAACCCTATACAGTCGGACCAAAATGATTTTGATACTAGCAGTTCATTCAAGTAAAATAGGTCATTAATAAGACACACTATACAGTCGTATTTTGTTTCTGTTTTATATATAGTAGGTACCTATGCTTATAAAAAGTTTAGCCAAGCATATTTAATTGAATCAGAATAAAATTATTATAGATAAAATAGTACTTTATAGTGTAAAAGTGTGTAATGTTGGTGATTACCGCTGAGGTGCCATTGAGACCAGAGCCGTTAGGTAATCATCAGTACACAAAAGATTCATCATACGACGTTTTTTAACACACTTGTTAAGAAAATAATATTAAAAATCATTTTATAGTATATAAGAAGTATATTTAGAGAAACAATTTGTAAATGTGCAGTTAGTAAAAATAGTGATAGGTATCTTCACTAAAAGCATCTGGCCATGGTTCTTTGTGTGACCATTTCTTTCTTTGGCCGGCCTTGACTGTTTTCCCAGGAGTTTCAAACTTTCTATCATTCTTAAAACCTTCGTTGACTATACGACTCTCTGATTTTCCTGAAAAAAAAGTAAAAAAATATGTAACGGAATAGAAACAATAACTTATTGACATGAAGCAATTAATTCAAAATTGGTAGAAAACCTGACCGAGTTGAACCATAATAACGTATCAAAAGAAATGGTCGTACTACAATATTACCTATTTACAATGTCAATCTAACCTAAAAATATGCAATGTAAACAATGCCGTTTTTGGTCTCAAAATCGTAAATTGAGTAAATTTGTAACTTCAGGCAGATTACAAACAAATAGTTACACGATTACATACCCGTCATAGATGCTGTTCACCCATAAACATCATCCAAACGCCACAAAAATCGTCCAGCTTGGTAGTCTTCGAAACATCGCTGGAAAACTTTAAAAATCACTTCCCGCGTGCCACTTTGATTTACTTTACTCATTTTTATACCTTTCTGCGTAGTTTCGTCTTAATTTATTACAGTTTAATCCAAACAATAAAAAATACAAAAGGAAAACTGTTCCACAACTGAAACTCGATGACAGCTGATGTACATAAGTTTGGTGTTGCCAGACACATGAATAATGTTAGTTCCTCAAACATTAATGTCACGACTTTATAGACAAACTGTATGTGAAGTGCCGACATAAGCCACGATCGATTTGACCATATAGGTATAAGAATAGAGTAGGGGAGATAATGTACGCTACTACAAATGGAAGTGTCCGTCTAATAGAAAGAGAAAGAAGATGAGAGACGGCTAGCTATCTCTCTCTCTCTTGTGACGCTGCGCAGCCATGTGATTGGTCGGTATTCATCCGTAGGTTTTTCATTCAATGCTCATTCGCAATTTGAGAGAGAAAGGCTAGCCGTCTCTCATCTTCTTTCTCTTTCTACTAGACGGACACTTTTAGAGCCGCCTTCCCCACTCTATTCTTTCTTGTACCTCTATGCAAAGAACTGGACATGACTGGGATCTTGGGACAGTCAGTCTGTGGACTTTGAAGGTTCCAGTTACCATAGCAACGCCAACACAAACAAATCTGAGCTATTTCTAACTTTTCTCTTTATTATCACTGAGCAAGTAATGTTTATTTTTGCTTAAGGGATTTCGCCGTTCTGAGTTTTAGGTTTTAAGGTTTATTTTAAAGATTCTTAATTACTCTGTAAAATAACAAGTTCATTATCACAAATACCCATAAAACCTGTTCCAAAAAATGTTTAGAGGCGACAATTCACATTCTTTGAGCTATGAACAACAATCAAAATTTATTCAAGATAGAATAACGAATGTTGAAAAAAATTTTGGTGAACTCTGCGTTGCGTTCGGCGACTATACCCGAAAAACTGCAAGGTAAGCTACATTGTGCAGATTCATTAGAGATTTGTACTCGAACGTTCAAGTTTGTCGTAACTTAAACGGCTCTAACACGACCCAATTTTAAGGGCCCCATCGAAAGATGTGACCGTGGCTCCTCGCTAGGGTAGCAATTATTACGTCGCGCTAATCGCCCTAGATTGGGTCCCTTACTCCCTAACTCATGTTACACCACCCTTAGGCAGGGTAAGGGTCCCTTGAAATTGGGTAGTGTAAATGCTGTTGTAGGAAGGCCCAGGGGGAAGATCTTCCTCCGAGCTGGATGATGGTAGATCGGGGGCCACGGCCCGATATCGAGTTTTACTCCGAATTTTACTTGCACGATTTAGACTTCCATACGTTCGAAGCGCAGCGTCGGTAACGCCATCTCTTGAGGAGGCGTAAGTTTATTTTTCCTCCATGTTACTTTTTATGTGGGACATGTAGATGTCGCCGCCACACTGTTTTAATCTGTTTGTCATTCTTCTAATACCATTTATGACCGGGGGGATTTGAATTTATGCCTGTGTCTCAGCAATCTATTATTAATAATAAAATAAAAAAAAAAAAAAAAAGATCTAAAAGATGACGAATCCCAGTGCTCGGTAAAACCTACACAGGTTTTTGTAGCACTGGCTAAATGTATTGTTATTATATATAGTAATGTGAAATTCAATAAATAAAAAAAAAAAATACAATCTAATCAAGGCTCCACTGTTGCTTCTCTATTCGTCTAAGTAAGTAATATCAGCGTCAGATGCTGCAGATTATTAATAGTTTTTACGCTGTGTCACTTAGACGAGTACAGAAAAGAACTTTATTAAGACCTATTCCCTGGAGTAATAAAACGTCAATTATAGATTACGTGATATGGGCGATGAGCTGACTAAGACTTTAAAAGATTACGCAAGCAACGAAATAGTTAACAAATCTCTAAGCACTGGACTGGAAAACTTGGCCATTACGCTGACAGCGATAGAAGAATATAGGAATTGCGAAGTTCAACGTCTTGAAGCAAAGGTTTAATTTTTTATTATATATGAATTACCATGAGCCTTGCCCATGAAGCATTTGTCCATAGTGAAAGAAAGCCCCATATGTAGGGTTGCCAACTCTCCCGGACTTCCGAGGTTCTTCCGTAAAGAGGCAATAAATTTTTAATATCTCCCGGATATTTCCATCGCTTATTATAACATTCAATCTATAAATACCTATCGCAAACACAGCCGGTTAACGTGTTTTCAGCATTACTACGCTGAAAACATGTTCAGCGACGTTTCGTTACTAACAAACCGTTGTGGAAAAGTCCTATAATCAATTGAATAAACCTTACACCCTACTTACACCCGTAAAAAAATTATTATTTTCAAGTAAAAGGCACTTTCACTATGTAAAAAATACACTTTTTAATAATAAATAATTTATTCATTGACTATTTTATTTCACCTCCCGAATTTTCAATCTACGCAGTTGGGCAGCCCTACCCATAAGTATCATCACGTTAGAGAGCATATCACGGTATCATAATCATGACTATGCAGCAAGATTACAGTATTCGATGGATTATATTCCGGCTAGTTAGACGAAGGTCTGTAATATAACTATATTCTGAACCAAGACAAGCGGTCGGCGAAGTCAGCAGTTTGCATTAAGGATACCTAAATAAGTCAATGCACTGTTTAGAGGGCTTTTCGAGAAATGTAATAAAGCGGAATATCCTATTAGCCTCCTCGCTATAATTTAGAGCCGATTTATTCATTCGCAATATCATCTGCATCATCATAATTCAATAGTTTATGAATAACAAATCAACATCACTCTTTACTTTGTCTGTACATATCAGATGGATGGATAAGTTCTATTGAATAAGCTATTTTTTCGGGGATTGAGAAAGTAGCTCTAAATAATGATAACATTTATAATTAGGTAGTTGGAGAACTATGTCAATACGAAACCATTTGTAAGCATGCCAGGGAGGAAGTGAAACATACTATGAATGTTAGAGAAAAAGAATTAGCCCGAAAAAAAGTACTCGACAAAGCACGGGAAAGGCAGCCTTTTAACAGACAACAAGTCGTAAGTATTTGTAATTGTAATATTTTATTTGTTATTACCTAGAATGGGTTTTAACCCATTCTAGGTAATAGCAAGACAAGCAAGTTCTGTCCGCCATTTATGGCGGACGGAACTCGGAGCTTGTCTTGCTGCTTCCAAGCCTTCACTTTGTTGTTCCTTGGGTTCTAGATTCTGTGCACGTGGCAAATACAAAGAGAAAATGTTGTATCGGAGTTTGCTTTAAGTAATGAACTGAAACCACTAGCAAGGGCATTATAGAGCAGTATTTGCCCCGCCCTTGCAGCACAAGCTGTGATATGATAAAGCCTAAAATATCCAAAATAGAAGATGATTATCGTCAAATTAGCTCGTAAGGATTAACCGTCGACAGTTCATGCACGGGAACATCAAGAGGGCGACTCCCGAATTCCTCTTAAATAAAAGGCAATAAAATGTAAAACCGTCATAAAGTCCGCATTACCTATAACCAACACCAGATAAATTAGGGACAATACAGGCAGTGTAGATGATCTAGCTTTACTTTACAAATACTTATCAATGTGTGTCACTTTTCTTAAAAACGTTCGTCCTTTTCTCACAACTGTAGCTTGAGATAATTATGGTGAAATTATTCGAAGCCTGAGTTTAGTGTATCAGTTTCATTTGGTCTCAGACAAGATTAAAAACTTATAAAAAACCCTTACAGACTTACGCTGAATCTGAATTGCTGAAAGCGTCAGCGGAGATGACGCGTACAGCCAAAGGTCTCAGTGAACAAACAGAATTTTTCGAACGCCGAAAGCTACAGCAGCTAAAGACTCTTCTCTCCGACTTTATCATGATCGAGATGACTTTCCACGGGAAGGCCGTCGAACTACTCACTGTAGCTTATCAACAAGTACAAGACATTAACGATAAGGCTGACCTGGAGGTCAGTATTAATACCTTTTTAAATTGTGTGAATACTCAGTCTTATTCTCTAACCATACTTGACACTCACGATTTTAATTACATTGGTAGGTTTTTCTATACCACGCAGAATCGACAAAAAGCAAGTAAGAACTTTACTTACCTTAGTATAACGACAACATATAATGCTATAAAATAACATCATCTATATTACTTTTCACTTCATGATTCTGGCAATTTCTAAGGAATCGCGTCCAAAGCCAGCTAGATAAAATTAATATTAGAGCTAACATTGCACTATACAACCTTCACATGCACCCAGGGCCCGATCTAGAAATTTAGCCGCTCCGGGCAAATATAATTTTTGCCGCCCTTTAAGTACATTAAATCCAATAACACCATTTATGATGAGTGTCGTTATGTTAGTACGTTATGTTAAAGGGGTGGCAAACAGACATATGAACCGGCTGATGGTAAGCGGCCACCTTAGCCTGTAGACGCTTGCGACAGCAAAGCTATCGCTCGCGCCGTTGCCATCTCATACTTCCAATGCTGTTATCGATCTTCAGCCGTTTCAATGAAAGAGATTTGTCATTTTGTATGAAGTCAGTCAACATTAAGCCCTTTTGGTTTCGCTGCCCATAACTAAAATTGCCCAATGTCAACTCGAAACTGTCTCGATCACCTAGCTTTGCGTTAAAGTCCCCCATCACAACACTGTAACAGTAGGTCGTAGACATGGGCGTTTTTGGTTTTGAACGCAAACGGATATATATCGGATTTCAGATTTCAAAATCGATTTCAAAATCCGTTTTTAGATATCCGATTTCAGATGTGCCTAACTTAGCCAATTCACTAGTTTGTGTTAAGATTTGGTTTTATTAGCTAACGACAATAACAAACAATTAATTAACGATATTTTGAAAACCAACACAAAACTCGTCTAATCAATTAAAAAGTCAACAGTTAAAAAAAAACAAATTAAAAACGTCTTTTTCTCGGTAGAATATTTATTGATAAGAATATAATTAAATTGCACAATAGGAACAAGGAATTGAATGAAAATAAGAATAAGAATTTACTTGCACGCGTGGGTCACACATTACCTGCGCGTGGTGCACCAGCCTGGTGTGGTCGTATAGCGCGGCGTGGTAGGTGAAGCATGCCCGGCAGGTGGGGCACGCGTGGGTCACACATTACCTGCGCGTGGTGCACCAGCCTGGTGTGGTTGTATAGCGCGGCGTGGTAGGTGAAGCATGCCCCGCAGGTGGGGCACGCGTGGGTCACACATTACCTGCGCGTGGTGCACCAGCCTGGTGTGGTTGTATAGCGCGGCGTGGTAGGTGAAGCATGCCCCGCAGGTGGGGCACGCGTGGGTCACACATTACCTGCGCGTGGTGCACCAGCCTGGTGTGGTCGTATAGCGCGGCGTGGTAGGTGAAGCATGCCCCGCAGGTGGGGCACGTGTGGGTCACACATTACCTGCGCGTGGTGCACCAGCCTGGTGTGGTTGTATAGCGCGGCGTGTTAGGTGAAGCATGCCCCGCAGGTGGGGCACGCGTGGGTCACACATTACCTGCGCGTGGTGCACCAGCCTGGTGTGGTCGTATAGCGCGGCGTGGTAGGTGAAGCATGCCCCGCAGGTGGGGCACGCGTGGGTCACACATTACCTGCGCGTGGTGCACCAGCCTGGTGTGGTTGTATAGCGCGGCGTGGTAGGTGAAGCATGCCCCGCAGGTGGGGCACGCGTGGGTCACACATTACCTGCGCGTGGTGCACCAGCCTGGTGTGGTTGTATAGCGCGGCGTGGTAGGTGAAGCATGCCCCGCAGGTGGGGCACGCGTGGGTCACACATTACCTGCGCGTGGTGCACCAGCCTGGTGTGGTTTTTAACTATAGAAATATATTTTGTTTACTAAAACATTGTACATGTAAACTTAAACTTAACACGAGAGACTCATCGTAACGTTACCGAGCGTTACACTTTTTCATAAGTGACTCCCAGCCGCAACCTAATTTAAGACGTTGTCACGTCAAAATTTCAATAATATGTGGGTACACAATTTACTAAGTTGACTTATTATTATTATCTTTATGAACTCTGAACTCCAATCCAGTCTTAACAAACACGTAATTAATAATTATCTAAACCCGGCAAACAAAAATCACTGACTGACATGCGTGCACTTGCATATCAAGGTCAAATTTGCATCTAAACAAAAGCACCAAGTTTTTGTAGTAAACAAACGCACGCTAAGATATAAGCCAAAATACATCACCTCACAGCCTAGTCACGCAAATATAGTCTTTAAGTACTGTGTCGTAAGACTATATTGATCGCACATATTCAATGGCAATAGATTTCCGTAAACAAGAAATCCAAATCGGACTTCCGAAATTCGCGGCATCTTTTTTACTCCGCTTTGTTACGATTGGTAAGAAAGAGACAAAGCGAATTTTACTGACGTTCGAAATTGTAAACAAATTCGCTTTCTCTCTTTCTAACCAATCGCTACAAAGCGGAGAAAAAAAGATAGCACGAATTTCGAATCCGATTTACATTTGGATACGTGATCGCTAGCGTTTTGGTTCGGTTAGATTTCTGAAATCGGATTTTCTAGTTGAGAAATCGTTCGGTATCGATTTGTGTTTGAAATCGGATTTTGGATTCGTTTTGATATATCGGACGCATGCCTAGTAGGTCGAGGTATGTTAGGTTTTAGTTATAACCTCGTACATAGACTACCACATTTATTTCCTTCAGGGCTTCTCAATCTCATCTCATCTTTCGTCAATTTAGATAATATACTCAAATATTTCTTTATCCAATCTGAAGTACAACCGTCTTCGAAGAGGCACATAAAATTCTAATCACATTATAAATACATCTAATATGCTAACTTGGGTGGATGATGGAATGCCGAATAGCTAGGTTGAAAGATAACTTAAGTGATTTTTCCACCAATTTAGTGATTTTTTTACCCCTCCCTCGTCCGTATCACAGTTTCTCACATTTGTGAGTTTGAGAGTCCATCCTTCTGTGTGACGTCATATATTTTGCATCTAAAAATAATTAAATTAAACAGCAGTTCCGAAATAAAGTCCGAAAATTAACCAAGATAACAAATTACTTAACAATAATACAGATAGTGCTAAATATTTAAATAACCCCTTTATTTATAAAATAATTGTGTCAAAAAGGTGTTGTAATTAAATTACTTATTTTGCTCTTTTGCATAGCTCCTCAATACAGGTCTTTCGGAATACGAGGATAATTCGGTAAATATACATGTTTATTTATTATTATAACTGTAATAAACATAGAAGTTATGTATGTGTAAGTACTTGTTCCCATGAACATAATTCTCATATAGGGCCCGATTTTAGCATAATTCTCTACCCCATGATCCATAATCAGTACGTATCAGGACAGAAAGAACATACTATCAACTGAACCCTCCACAGAACTTTAGAAGAAAACTTCGATCTCCTGAGAAGCAAGTCAGCACTGGTATATCTGCCAGATCTTCGTCTCTGGCATCCCTCATGAATCATTCGTCACCTTCGAGGGACGAGGAAGATGTTATGGTATGGGCTTTCTGTAAATTACTCCGACTACTTTTATTAACCCTAACCTAATTTTATTTTTTTATACAAGCAGCTAATTACTACACTACCTGGTGCAAAGTGTAGTGTAAGAGAACTCCAGCTGCGATAAATTATGCGGCAGAAAAATGTGCAACCTCGGCCATCTCCACCTTGCGCCATGAACCCATTCCCCTACCCCGTGGAGCCTATTATGTCAATAGGCAAAAAGCTTTATCTGAATGATATTTCTGTACAGTACCTTTTTACTTTTTATTGTATTGTATGTCCATGTCAGTGTATAAAAGCGGAGTTTGGTGATGATTTTCTGATGAATGATAGTTTTGCGAGGAGCCATAAAATCGCGGCAAAGATTGCTCGTCAATCGGGACCATAAGTTGGTTGATTTGTTAAAATATTGCTTAATTCACAGAGATCTTCAAGAAGAAATAAATCTCCCGAAAAGAATTCTAATCCGGGAAGATCTAGTTCACTGGCTGCATTAATGAACAATTCGTCATCAAGAGAAGATGAAACAACGGTACCTGCTTAACTTTTCTATTATGTAATAAATACTTTAGTATCTATTATTATCGGATAGGAAACAAATCGGACCATCTCATCTCAGCCCTTATTAATATTTTTAACCATTCTGCATTGTATTTGCTCCGTGTGCTACGAGTACACTAATATTATAAAGGCGAAAGTGTGTGAGTGTGTATGTTTCTTACTTCTTCACGTCTTAACAGCTGGTGCGATATTAATGAAATTTTGTATGGAGTTAGCCGACACCTTGTATTAACACATGCTACGTTTTACTGCGGGAAAATATCCCAAATAGACCGCGGGTAATACCGCGGGGCACAGCTAGTAACTAATAATCGTCATCGTAACGGTATGGTAATCGTATCATCTGGGTGCTTGTTTGCAAACCACAAGCAGCGAGTGGTCATCTACTGCCTTTCGTCTCTTCTACTTACAAACTGATTGAAGTGGTCCGATAATAATCCACCAGTTGACGCCTAACTTTATCCGGACGTAGACACAGTTTAAAACGGTGCCTAGACCTGGTGGAAAACCGTATCGTTAATAAGCGGCCTTAAGCCTCGATGACACGGTGCTAGTTTACAAGCTGCAAGCCAGCGAGTTCCCCCGTGTCATGATATGGGACGAATTTACATGCTGCTAACTAACTCGCTGGCTTGTTAACTAGCCCCGTGTTATCGAGGCTTTACTTAGCCAAGTGGATTTAACTCGAACACGGTACGTACTATCCCTACTACAACATTGTAAAACTGGGGCCCCTCTACCCGTACTGAGCATTCATAGCTTTAAAGACTCGACCGATCGGACCGACGACGGCGACGGCAAGTCTCATCTGACAGCCTATTCGTCGGCCTATCTAGGCGCAATCTGGGTCCAGGCTTAATTAACGCGCCGCGGGGTACCTGCTCGCATATAATTGACAGAAAGTGGATGGTAAGATGGTCCGTTTCCCATTTGATGCGCCAACAGAAGTGTTCTGTGGCAACGCACAGCTTTTACATGCTTTAAAAGGATGTGAAGAGAACAGATGTAAGAACAATAATACATCAGGCACAATCTTAGTATTCTTTACGGATAGGAAACAAATCGGCACCATCTCATCTCAAGCCATCCAGTTCTCGAGAATTAATAAATACCATGCGGCAGCATCATTGATGTTTATTTGGTATCTATTTATTCTTTTGAAAGGGAATGATCGTTATTTGATTGGGTCATGGACTTACGGTAGTACTTATTCAGCGAACAAGGAATTACAGAAACAACGTTGTAAATATTCCATCCAGTTTATTTTCTTTCCATGTTCCAGTCTATTAATGCAATACATCAATGCACGACGAACCATTACAAGCTATGTGCAATACGATACGTGATTATCTCTAACTTATAGTACATCATTTGTAAACTAGATATTCCTACAAATATAACTACATAGTTACATTATTTTTTAATTTAAATATTGCTTTTATCCATTTTCTAGGAATCGGAAGATACCGGTGATCAAGACTCGTCTGATGACACTGAATCCCGCTAATATTTAAGCTTTTCTTTAGATAATTAAGCAATATTTGAGGAACACTAATAAAAATGATCATTCAAGGCTTCATCTTCTTAAACATTTAATTTCGCGTCCCCTCCGCTTTTTTATTCATGATATCGGGCTCCTAGATTGCATTGCAAAAGACCTTTTCTAGACTTTGTTGAATTTATTCCACTCCTAACAAATACCTCTCGAAGAATTCAAAGATCCAAATCAAATTACTTCTTTAAATGATTTTAAAAAGAATACCAATATACGAACAGTTTCCTTTATTCAGAAAAAGTATTATAATATTAGTTAAGGTAGCAGTCTATTATATAGTTGTATTTATTTTACCTGCTTTTTCTGATATATTGATTTTTCCTGTATTCTGTTCATACTGATATACAAAAAAAAATGGTTCCTGAAATTATTTATGTGAAACTTAAATATAATTTTATTTAGATATTACATTGATAATAATTCATGAACAAATACCCTTATCTACATTTATACTTATAAATTAGGAATCTATAAAAGTTATCATATAGATTTTAGGAATTCTGAGCCAATAAAGAATTTTAAAACAACAAAACCCTAATTAATTATCATTCAGGAATTGCCATTGAATTGCCCATCTTGCCATAATCACTATTTCAATCTTCAACTTATTTGTAATATGTGGATTGTGTCTGAGTAGTGATGGGCTAATTTTGAGTTTTTGAAATGGCCTGATTGTTATCCTTATGGTCAAATTGATTTGTTAAAATGACATAACTGAGCCTACATATGGTCAATATTCCCTTTATTCAAGAAGGCCCTGATACCTTAATTTTTCCACCTTACCTGTGTCCTCATTGCTATAGCCCACTGGTGGTACACCAATTATTTCCCCAGTATTCCCATTTGAGGTACACGGATAATATAATTCAAAATGAGTTTTACCTGTTATCCCACTGCTTAAATGAATTTTAACAATCGGTGGCAGTGAGGGTGAATAAAATAAAAATAACTATGTTGCATTATCTAAAAACTACCATAGGTTTCATCAGTGTTCCCAGAATTTAGCTTTTGGGCTAGAAGTTCCCATTCTCTTTTGATGTGAGCAGTTTTACAGTTCAGTTCTCTAAGTGCATAACAAGATACCTACATGCCTACAAGCAAGTCAGTGTACTTCAATAAAATTGTATACATGATAATGATTGTCATAATGATAATATAAGAACCTCACTGATGGTAAGTACTGCACATATCCAATTTAAAGAAGGAAACTGGAATTGATTTATATCAGTAACTTGTACCATGACATGCTTGGCACACCCCATCCCTTTTATGTTAATCAATACCATCATGTTCCTGATACAACATGGTACTATATAAAAAGTATATAAAATGATTGATGTTCCATCTGTTCAGCCTAAATACCAAAATCCATAATTCATATTTTTGAAATTTCACCTAAACTAATAGAACTGATATTTTTTATGCCATCTAGAATTTTAGACATAGTATTCATGAAAATCTCTATTGATTTTAGAGAAACTGGTCCAGTAGTTTAATTTCATAATCATTTTTCATAAATTCTTTATCTTAATTTAATAAATCAGTATTTTATTATATTAACCCAGAGAAACATAATAGTTTGTTAATTTGGTTGACAATGATGTCGATTCTGGTATGATTCTCTAAAGCTAAACTTAAATTTGACAACAGTGTATCTTTGTCATTCTCTATACAGAATGAAAACGACAGACTGATTTTAAGTTTAGAGAATCCTGTCTGAATCAACACCAATATCCTATTTCAAGTAAGGGGTTTAAAAACATGTAAAATGTGTTCAACGGGTGATAAAATGTTGGCATTATAATAAAGCCAAACTAGCAGTACTAACTTTCATTTGAACTTAACATCAGTAGTGCATCCCATTCACTTTGTACTTTAACAAAAACTCAGTTGAATGTAAAAAAAAAGACTGCTTTACCATTAAAGTTAATTTACGTAATCAGAAGAGGATAACAGAACCTTTTATGTGAATTTGTAATTTAAGATAGAAATTTTGCCATCGCCCCATAATGCTATTACTAAATATAGTACTGATTCGTAAAATATACACGCAGGCACTATCTTTGGGTGAGTGATAAGTATGATTACACTAAGAATAAAATCTAAATTATCACTACTTTTCATTTTCCACACCAGCCTGAGTCATGAGGTCTGTGATGTTTTTTTCTAGCTCATCCACTCTAGTACCCATTTCATCTATTCTGCTAATTATCTGGTCAGACATACTTTGGAACTTATCTTGCATGTTTTGAAGGAGAGATTGCACCTGTAATAATATTTTAAAGTTATAAGAAAAGAACCCATTCAAGACTTCATTGATGTACCTCGAGTGATCTGTGTATTAAATTTGCACAATTATATTAGAAAATAATCTTTCATAAATGTGTGATTCTGGTGAACAAATATAAATAAAATATGAAATAACACAATAGTTACAATAGGTAACTTACGTATTGTGTGACTTCTTGCATATTTTTGGGATCATTTGCAGGGGTAGAATAATTGCTTTCCACTTCATTAGTAGCAGGTTCTGTATTCTGCAAATTCTGTTCCGCCATTATTTATTTTAGTAAAGTTTAGAGGGGTACCTGCTTAAATCTTTCTCAGTATAATAATCACAGACTACACAGTCACTGCGAGAAGAAGGAAGCTGTTTAGAATTGTGTTTAGATAGTATTAGTTCCATAGACTACTTAGATCTTAGATTAGTACGTCAGTACGTCTTTACGTCACGCTCACGCAAACGTCAAGCTTTACGTCAAGTTCAAGAAATGTATTTTTTTTTAATTATTCATGACCATGGATACAAGTTTTTCAGTCGCATACATTAATACAAATCTGAATCTATTTCTTTTTTTATTTTTTTATTAACATTAGAATGTCGGTGTGAATGTGAATAATTCTCACATTGTTGTAACATGCAGTACTATATTATTATTTTAATTCCTTTTCGATGGTATTTGACTGTTACCTGTCCTCAAAGAAGTCCAGTTTCCTCTGAGTTGCACAAGAGAAATATTGAACCTATTTACTTAATTATATGCAGAACAGATATTTAGTTTTATCTACTATATAAACCATAGATCTTATAGGTCGCAGTGCCATTAGTCCAATTAGGACTGCATAGTCTCAAAAATTTAAATAATCTAAACCGTAACACTGTTTCATGCACGTGCCTGTTTTTAAATAAAACTAAAAAGGGTATCATTTTAGCCTAAAACGTTATTTATCATGGCAAATTAGAAAATCACTTCTGGCAGCCCTGTACCTGTCATTTCTTAAACGGAGTTTTTGGCGGGATTTGATCGAGTGTGGTTGGCGTCTTATTTTAATTATTCTTAAATTCGTTCATAGTGGATATTGTGAAATAAAATTGGTGTGATTTTGTGTTACAACCATCTGCGCAACTGAAGAATTAGTGGAATCTTTAAAATATACGCTATTCCGATCAAGTGGACGTGAGAACTTTATTGTAGTGTTGACTACCTCACAGAAGCTTATCGAAAAAACCAACTCGATACATTTCGTGCCAAACACTGCAAGAAACAATAGAATTAGGTGTGAGCGTTCTAAAGAGAACCGGTTTCAAGGACCGTTTTGTGTTCCGCGACGATAGAACCGTTTTACGTTTCGGATCAAAACAGTCTTCGTCAAACAAATCCTCGGATTGTCTGCACGCCAATATGTACTTTATGACGAAATAAATAGTTTATAATAGAACGCAATGATATGAGGCCGTTTCGTTCTATAATAAATGAAGCTTTGATTTTACAATAATATAATGTTTATTCTTGAACATTCAAATTCAAATTCAAATTCAATATCATTTATTCAGTCTAGGCTGTTACAAGCACTTGTGAATGTCGAAAAGCTACGCCATCGGTTCGCAAATCTACGGCGGGAGACCTTGTACTGAGAAGAACCGGCAAGAAACTCAGCAAGGGCTGTTTTTTTCTCCCTGTATTATATACAGAGTCGTCAATTTGAAAAATGAGTTCAATATGAGATAACCCATGAAGTCACTTTCCATTACAAATGTAAATGATAAAACAATTATGACTATAAAATAAAAAATATAAAAAACAGATTTAAAAATGAAAAAAAGTTTAGGAATGCCGTGTCCCACTGTTTAAGCATAAAAACAAATGTACCATTAAAGTTAAATACAAGGATTAATAGTACCCAATGTAGCAAGAGCAGACTCATCTCCGCTGGCAGCACCCGTTCACGAGCATGACGCATGAACCAGCCATCGCTTCGCTCAACCATTTTTTAGGGAACGTAACGACCCGCCTCACACGACACCGCCGAAGAGATTTTTAAGAGAGTATGACTACCCATAACCACATATGGATACTAGGTAGCAAAATAGGGGAAAAAAAAATTAAGTACCAGTGTACATTACTATAAAAAACTATAAACACAACTGTAGGACACATGCATGTGGTTACCTAAACACTAGTGTCGACTCTGTCACTGCCCTCCAAACCCAAAACCAAACCCAACATCAGTGCCCCCCCTTCACTCTGTATAGAGAATGACAAGGATACACCGCTGCAAAACCAAAGTTCAGGTCTAGAGAACCATGCCAGAATCCACACCACCATTAAATCTTTATCTCAGAAATAACAAATGTTCACCTAAATTTTTTGTTTCTGATTGCTGTGCCACACAGTATAAATACAATTACAAATTAAATTTAACTTAAATAATTAATTATCATTATAATAATAATAAAGTAGTATAGAGCAGACTCATCTCCGCTGGCAGCACCCGTTCACGAGCATGACGCATGAACCAGCCATCGTTTCGCTCAACCATATTGTAGGGAACGCAACGACCCGCCTCACACGACACCGCCGAAGAGATTTTTAAGAGAGCATGACTACCCATAACCACTCAAACCAAGTAAAATAGTTACTTAGAATTCAGGTAATTTATCTGTACGACACTGCAAACAAACACAAAACAAATTTACAGTTACAGCCATGCAGTTTTGTCATTTAAGTATTCTTTAATAGTATAATAGCCTTTCTTAAGTAAACAATTTTTAATGTGACACTTGAACTCATTTATGGGTAACTCAAGAATGGCATCAGGAATTTTATTATAAAAATGTATACCTTGACCCATAAAAGATCGGTAAACCTTCTGTAACCTGTAGGGTGGCAATGCAAGCTTATTTCTATTCCTTGTGTTAAAATTATGCACGTTACTGTTTTTGGTATACAAATTGATATTATTTTTAACGAGGAGTATACAATTGTAAATGAATTGAGAAGCAACAGTCAAAATGCCGATTTCTTTAAATTTTTCTCTAAGAGATGTTCGGCTACTCAATTGATAAATAGATCTCACAGCTCTTTTTTGTAGAATGAATATACTTTCAATATCAGCTGCTGTTCCCCAGAGTATAATGCCGTATGATAAGATACTATGAAAGTATCTAAAATATACAGTCCTGGCAGTTTCTGTATCAGTAAGTTGTCTTATCTTTCTTATGGCATAAGCTGCTGAACTAAGTTTACCAGCCAAAAGCGTAATGTGATGATTCCATTGCAGTTTTGAGTCTATAGTTATACCCAAGAATGTAGTTGAGTCTACTAAATCTAATTTATTATTGTTTAATTTAATTTCAATATGTTCGACTTTTACATTAGGTAAAGAAAATTTAATACACTTGGTTTTATTAGCATTTAGCTTTAGATTATTAACATTAAACCATTGCAAAACTTGCGAGAGAGCATTATTAACATCGTCATAGTTGTTCTTGCGCCTGTCAACGTTAAATAATAAAGATGTGTCATCAGCAAATAATACTATCTCACACAGATCTTCTACAAAAAATGGCAAATCATTTATATATACTAGAAACAGAAAGGGACCCAAAATTGAACCCTGGGGAACGCCCATTTCCACATGAGATCCAGATGATCTAACACCATTTACCTCTACAGTTTGAATTCTGGAACTGAGATACGACTGTATTAATTTATATGCAGTACCTTTGACTCCATAATGACTTAATTTCAATAACAGCGTGTGATGATCAACGCAATCAAAAGCTTTGGATAAGTCACAGAACACTCCAAGAACATTCTGCGACCTCTCCCAAGCCTCCAATATACTCCTTACAAGTGCAACACCCGCGTCAGTAGTAGATCTACCTCTGGTAAAACCAAATTGTTTCCTATGCAAAAGTTTATTTAGGTTGAAATGAGGCATTAATTGTTCCAGAATAATTTTCTCAAATATTTTACTTAGAACCGGTAATATTGATATAGGCCTATAATTTCCAGGTTCACTTCTATTTCCTGATTTAAAAAGAGGTATAACTTTACTGTATTTCATCAAATCCGGAAATACGCCTTGATCAATACAGTTATTAAATATATCAACTAGATAAGGGGCAATAACGGGTATTATACTTTTAATAACTTTAGTAGAAATACCCCATAAATCACTTGTATTTTTTTGTTTAAGAGATTTAAAACACTTAATAACATCAATAAAACTAATATGTCTAAACTGAAACACGTTATCATACTTAGGTACATATTTCTCGAGCAATGTCTTGGCAGCCACCGTTGAAGAGCTCAAATTAGATGTAGCCACCAAAGGAACATTAACGAAATAATCATCAAAAATATTAGCGATATGTTCCTTAGATTTTATTAGAATATTATTGGACTTAATTTCAATAATATCGTCACGTGGCCTTTCTTTGCCTGTTTCACGATTTATAACATTCCATGTTGTTTTGATTTTATTATTCGATTTACATATTTTATTTTTAATAAAATTAGATTTGGCTGTTGCACATACCTTTTTGAAGGTTTTAGAATAACATTTAACGTAATCAATAAAACTTTGTGAATGATTATATTTTCTCAGATGATACAATTCATAAAGTTTGTTTCTACTTTTATAGATACCAGTCGTAGCCCAATCACAGAACTGTAACTTCTGAGTAAGTTTCGAAGTTTTTAAGGGAAAAGTCTTATCGAATTCATTCCTTATTAGATTAAAAAGATCCCCAAAAAGAATATCAGGATCATCATGTGTCCATGGGATATGAGAAATCCTATCACCAATGTTTTTTTGAAAATTTTCTAACCTGTTTTCTGTTACTGGTCTCAATTCAATTACTTTGGTTTCATTTTTTACATCTATTTTATATTGTATTTTTAAGCCATAATGGTCAGATGTAATACTATTAAAAATAGACTTACTATCAGGAGTACTATCTGTAAATACATTATCCAAACAAGTTGCCGAATGTGATGTCACCCTAGTCGGCTCAAAAAATTGATGGATCAAATTAAAACATTTAAATAGTGATATTATACGTACTGACATTGAATTTTGTTCAAGAATATTAATATTAAAGTCACCGCAAACAACCAAAAACTTATTTTTTGACTTTAACTTTTTCAGTACATCCTCCATTACAGATTCAAAAATGTTAAAGTTACCTACAGGGGGTCGGTATACGCATACTATTATCATCTTATTTAGTTCCACACAAGATAGCTCAATGCTACGTTCAATTGAAAGGCCAGCTATATCCTTTCTATCCTTACATCTAATATTTTTGTTGACAAAAATCAATGAGCCGCCGTGTATGGCTGTCTTTCGAACATAAGCACTCAACAACTGAAAATTGTTTATGTGATAAGACATTTCACAAAGCTTGAGCCAGTGTTCCGTTAAACATATAATGTGTATGTCCTCACTTTTCGAATACAATTCTAATTC